TGCTCGTCGAGATGCTGCCAGACCTTGCTGCCTGTTGTTGTGCTGAAGGAAACAAAACACGTAAAGTCATGATGGCAGTGAAAGTCAGAAAAAGTGTCAATCGCGACAGGAACGCGGTTTTCACCTATTTTAATTTTAAGAATTAAGAATTAAGACTGACTGAATAGACTGATGATTAACGGTTATCAAGTTACTATGTGTTGTGTGATGTTTACTTTTTTTTACTTTAAAACTACAACCGTGTCACTATAAATGAGACTACTACAACTACTATCAAAACACGTCCCCGTGTCTCATACAAGCTGTGAGTGAAACTCCATGAGCAGGAACGGGAGAAAATCGGGGTCAACATATGGACACATTGAGCCGTGTTTGTGAAACCCAAAAGCTTTGCACTATTGCCTCGTAGCCATCCAGATACAAAAGCGTGATAATACTAAGAAACCTTCCAGCTCAAAGAAGTCGACTCTACGTAGCATAAAATGAAACACGCATTGCTATTCTGGCTCATCGCCATTCATTGTCTTGGGTCAAGATCAACGAATATATGACTAAGCCTGAAACACCCTTTACTTTTCGACTTCCTCCAGGGTACGATGGTCGATGCTTATGCAGACAGCAGTTCTCGCAGGTCTGTCGGTTTGTTGATATCGGGTCGTATTCAGACCACTTTCCTGTGACGACCAAATTCTCAATCTTGACAGCCATGGCCTTGGATTTGGCTTCTATTCTTCAGTCATCAACCAGTTTCATATCCGTTATTATCATCATTGCACTCGCATTTACTGCAGACCGTGCCAATGCTTCAGTAACTTGTTCAGGCATCACAATCAAGGATGGCTTTAACTGCTGTGGCCAAATCACTATAAACGGGAAGACCGGTCCTGCATTCTGTGAGTCTGATTTTGGCTGTGTATGCTAGTTAATTGATGCACATGATGTTGCTTTTTTTTACAAGTCGTTGTTTTGCGTTGTCAATGCTGAAATCTTTTTCGCCAAAAGAAAATTCTTAACAGTTCTCAATTGAAATCTCATTAGGTCCTACCTCGCAAGCATGCGCGCAGGGTGGTACTTACGGGTGGTATTGTGAGGAAATTCAGCAACAGAGTCAGAGTGCCTCTTGTTATACCGGCCAGTATCAAGCTCCTCCCGGCAATTGTAAGGGCGCCTTCGAATATCCCCTCCCTTTGTGAATTGGCTTGAAGAAAATGTTTTGACCTAGACCATATGTCACATAGGCGTCAGTTTCGGCTGGGTCGATTGCCAGACAGGAGGTAATGAACAGAACGATGGATGCTATGGAGCCACGATTTGCTATGCGATCGCTACTGGGAATACATTCTTTTACGGCTGTGCTTACTCAGGTGCAACCATCAATTGCCCTAGTGGATGGAGCCTTTGTGGGAGCACATGGTGCGATTCAAATCAATCGTTGTTCAGTTGGTTTCGTATCTAATCAATTGTTTTTGCTCGTGTATATTATAGCTCACCCCCATCAGCCCAATGTTGCGGCACAACACAATACGGTTGGGTTTGTTGCTAGTTCAGCCCAAGTGTTCCAAAAACTCACTGGTTTCTTTAAAAGGAAATTACTGTCTTCAGGGGACACAGTGTCAGCCGTCAAGTGCTTATAACGCTCAAACGGGAGTAAGTAGTATTTGCATAGTCGAATGTGGAACTTTTCGCGAACTCAACACTACCTTACACAGCCGCTCTGTATTGGGCCTTCGCCGGTAGCCTCTCCTTACATTGCCCAGTCTGCCGCCCCAGTCGCCTCTCCTTACATTGCCCAATCTCCTTCTAATACCAACCCTGATGGTACAGTCACTGGCGCTGGCGCTGGCACTGGCGCTTCTCCAGCCGTTAATGGTGCATCTCCATCAATTGCGACCACCTCAGCTGCTTCTCTAGCCAACTCAACTGCAGCCGATACTGGTTCTGGTGGGGGAACAAACGTAGGGGCAATCGCTGGTGGTGTTGTTGGTGTATTGGCCATACTTGCAATCGTAGCAGGTGTTTTGTATTTGCGACGGCGGTCTCAAGCTCAGACTATGGCAGGATCAAAGGTGATGTCGTCGTCAAGTGGGGGTGGGAAGGCTGTCCAGCGCCAAGTGTCTGTAGCCATACCTCAAGTCGCACCTCATACGGACATGCATGATATCAAGGATGTGTTTATCTCCTATCAATGGTAAAAGACTATCAGTGCCATCGAACGCTTTGCCCTCACGTAAGCAACAACTAACTCCCAAGGAATCCATGGATAGGCAGTACAAGGAATCGGTCTTGAAAGTTCGAAATGAACTTATAGCAGCTGGTTTCACCATCTGGATGGACATTTCAGAGATATACGGCAACATCCCCGAAGACATCACTTTGGGTATTAGGAACTCGCGTGTTTTTGTTCCGTTTTTATCACTGGAATATGAGGCGAGTTGAATTCTCTTCTCAAATTTATAAAAGAAGTCAAACAAGCACATTTCCCAATCGTGTCTTTTTCTCTAGGCCTCTGCAAACTGCAAGAAGGAATTGACATTTGCTGCTTCGAACGATGCACAGGGAGTCCTCATCAATGCAGTCCGTTTGACACAAGCTCACTTAACGTGGTCTGCATTTGCAACTGGAGGCGATAATCTTTATGTTTCAATGACGCCTGACGTTTTTGAAGATCCAGCCAAGTTTAGGGAAAAGGTCGACGAATTGATCAAACTGATTCGAAATTCATTGTCGAGATCATCGAAATAACATGGAAAGCAGTAATTAAAACCAATGGTAGTGGTCCAGTCGTGTGGCCTAATTAATAATAATTTTTGTTTCTGACTTTTTAAGAAACTACAGATAATATGGAGCGTATAATGTACAAAATTGTTTGTAACGACTAACATTTCCAACACCGTGCTCTTGTAGAATGATTTCAGAGTCGCTAGCATGCCTACTCTAATCAAATGACAAGATCAAGTTCAAGACTGAGCATTCAGCAGCAAGATATAACGAGCCACTGAAAAATGATTCAGTATCAGAGCGTGCCTTCCACAAATCTACGAGACATGAAGAATGGTCTTTGCTTTTTTGCCCTATCAGCTACTGTCACGTCAAAACAATCTCATACCTTCAAACATCAACTTAGAGCTTCCATCTCATCGACGAGCAATGTCCCCTACATTTCAAACGTATGGTGATATCGGTCACCTCAAAAGCCCACTTTCAGCACAGCTTCAATGACGCGAGAAGATGTTCCATACTGAAAACTGGGTTCTTATGGAACGGCTGGGTTTCCTGTACCAAAGTCACTCTAGTGTTCCCTCTACTTCTCTTGTCAAGCGTACCCAATGGAACACGAAGGTTTCCACTTCAACCAAAGCCTTGAGCAAATTAAACTTCCATGCCTTACACCAGATCTGAGAATCACGAATTTCTTTCGACCCATAGCAGTTGCAGTAGATTTCTACATATGAGCAAAAAGACAATGAGCCCAGTAGCAATATGACGTACACATAACTTTGTTCACTCTCTTTGGTTCGCACAAGATCCGAGGTATTTGCGTAGACTCTCGTCGAAGGTATCGGCAAGCACTTTGAGCGAATACAGGAGCTGTGGTCATAAGCGAGAAGACCATTTTGACTAATCCTGTACAAGCTCGTAGTAACAGAAGTTCAGACCGAGGATTTTTGAGGTCTTGTATGGAATTCATCAACACCACAGTTTTATCCACCCGTTTTTTGAACCAAGGCTTTGATAAAACCAGGTTGTGTACTAACTGCGCCACCTAGAAGTTTAATGCTTCTACTGCTGTGACCAAGTAAGATCAACAGTCTCGTGATAAACGAAGTTCTAGTTTACTATACTTCATTATAAATCATTAGAATTGTTGGAACTTACCTGTTCAATAAGCTTTTTCTTCAACTTTTTGCGCAGAAGTTTGCAGTTCTCGACAACGGTTGTTCTTCAGCAAGTCGAGATGCGATGATAGGCATAGTTAGTATATGGAATCTATAATGAAACGAAGCTTACGAAGCTTCAAAGAAAACGCGACAAACAATGCATTGAGATCTATATGAAACCACTATGAGCTATTATATGCGCTCCTTCATTTATAATTTACCAGCTAAAAGCTCATCACGACGCGCCATTCGATGAGCTTGAAGTTCTTCTCGTCCTCGAGCCGCTTTCACAACCCGCCCTTCCTCTCCCTGAAGCTCTACTCCAGCCTTCTTCGCAGTCCTCCATCTAAATACATCTCTATACACGGCAGAGGCTGCATTCCTTTCAAATATATCAGCTATGACATCTCCCAAGACAGGCGTAAACTTGAACGCATGTCCAGATCCAGCAGTGGCGACCATGACACCAGGTCGTGTAGGTATATAATCCACTAGAAAGTTTCCATCAAAAGAGTCGGTATACCAGCATAGACGGGTATTGACAATATCAAAGGTGTTTAGCTCGGGCAGGTATTTCTGCAGGAAGGCCCTAAACATTGTCACAGAGCTTAGTGGGATAGTTTGGGTGGGATGCGTTACAGAGGTTTGAGGGATTGATACAGATGTGGTGGTATGAGAATATGGTGGTTTTAAGAGGTTGGTGTATCCAGGGCCATGATGTGCGATCTAAAATGGGAGAGAAAAAAGTCACTTTGGCGAGAAAGACAATATGCAGAGGACAGGGCTACTGACCTTCATGATACCCTCCTCATTCACCGGGAATCCATAGAAACCACTCATGTCCACGAAATCCACCACTGTTCGAAGAAGACAAAAAGGATTGTAAGTACTCATTAACATGGATTTCATCATTGCTGATTCTCACCATCTTGAGCGATATTCGTAAGCCATACAGGAAAGTTCTTTGACATATACTTTTCACGTAAATGCTCTGGTACTCGTAAATGAATTACAGCTTGTCCCGACGCGACAACACCCATATCAGAGACTTCGGGTAGTATAGACGGTGTCCATGATCCAGCAGTTACTATAATACGTCCAAAATGCTGTATCTCATCTCGTGTAATTACTCCAACAGTGGTTCCATTCTCTTCTATAAACGAAGAAAACGTGCCGGAAATCCCTTCGTGAAAGACAACACCCAACTCTTTAGCTTTCCCTAATAGGTACGACATAGCAGATGCAGCATATGCCCAACCAGCTCGTTTTGACAGATAGCCACCTTGCAAATGAGCAAATGCACTCGCGACACCCGGGTATCTCGTTACAAACTGATCCTTGTTCTCGTTGGTGATGACCTCTATCGTATCCCCATATCCAGCTTTCGTGAAATTCCGGATGGTAGAAGTACTATGCGTATCTAAACTATCCGATAGAAAGAGTGCTCCACATTGGTCGAATAACGGAATGTTGTATCTTTCCATGGAGTCTTGATGCCATTTCAACCATTCATTGATGGCCTGCATTCCGAGGTTCTGATAGTGGATGTCTTCACCATAATCCGCTATAGAGCGTTGATCAGTAGAAAGGTCTGTGATGTTGTGAGTCAACATAAATCAGCCAACCTCTAATCACTTTGCTAATGTCAGTCGAAGCACCATCCTCAGCCGGAATCTGACAACGATCTAGCACTGTAACAGCATATCTATGTTAAGAAATCAATAATTTAGCTCTTTTCCAGTATTTGCAAATAACACATGCATTCAAAATTCGTGATCAGAGTCCAAGCTACGAAGCAGCGAACTAGCCACTACAACCAGAGTACGCACCCCCTCTTTTGCAGTGCAACGGCAGTACTCAATCCAAACGTGCCAGATCCTACTATCACAACTTTGTCCTTTGCCATAAAGTCGCTGAATTGAGCTGGGGGTTTGGGGGATTTCGAGTACATAGATGCAAAATATGAACCAGACAGTCAAATGAATATGGCTAGTATCAATTCAATTTCGAAAGTAACTTTATACCAATCTATGACCAAGTACGATCAACAGTCTTGTGCGAATCGATCTGTGCAAAAGCTGCGAGGTCATGCTGGCGTAAACACGAATTGTGCGATGGAATCGTGACTATGCAGAATCATGGAATGGAAATCTCGCCTCTGATCACCAAACCGCTATTCAAAATGTCTCGTTTTCATATGTGTTTTAAAGAGTTGGAACTGGCAATGTGATTTTCTCAAGTCAAAAGCTGCAATCGTTCAACTTGTCTTCAAGCTAGAGCGAAACAGCAAGATGAAGGTACGTATGAGGGATTCTGAGTGAATAGTTGCATATAAGGAGGCATTTTGAACATATCTATGCTTCAAATTGTATATGTAACCGCATGGGATTCGATGGATGCGTTCGATGTCCAGTGTTTGGAGCAGAGTGTCCTCTTGTGAGAGAGAGTTAAATGGCAGAGAGGAAGCAGAGGAGAGGCTGTCAGTTTGGAATTGGCATTCATTAGATGTAGAAATTGGCATCAGCTTCCCTCTCGCTCATTTGAACCAGCATCAGCAAATCAACATTTGGACAAAAACATTCCCAAGCTTGCTAACTCACACTCTTTCTACCCCCTTCTTTTATACATTAGCTCAATATCTCATACCCTCAAACGGTACGTACCCGTAGTATTGACTCGTTATGAAGAATGTAGTATCTAAACTCTCTTTTCTATATAAAGGGTGCTCAAAAACTGATTGATATTGACGATGAACGTCGAGTGTAGGTCTTGACGATGTCGGAAGAATGATTTTACTAGTGTGGGTTTGTAACAAATATCGCTGATTTTTAGACGTGGCTTCTATGACAAGCGTATGAGCCATGAAGTCAAGGGTATGTTACTGGTCTTGTCTAGCTCGTATTGAGGTCAATGAGCTCATATCATATTACAGGTGACTTCTTGGGTGAAGAATTCAAGGGTTATGTCTTCAGAATCACTGGTGGTAACGACAAACAAGGGTAAGTTACCCATTCTTTATACTTGGATTGTTTTTTTTGCTCACATTGCAACATCCATCTCCTGCAGTTTCCCAATGAAGCAAGGTGTCTTGGTACCTAGTCGTGTCCGATTGTTGATGGGTAAAGGTCACTCATGTTTCCGTCAACGAAGAAAGGGAGAACGTAAACGTAAAGTACGTGTGATCTGGAAAAGAGTCTGAACCTGTTGTGTTTTGAAATAGTATACTGACAATTTCTTTGCTCACATAGTCCGTACGTGGTTGCATCGTCGCCTCTGATCTCTCAGTATTGGCTTTGAGCGTTGTCAAACAAGGTGACAATGACATTGAAGGATTGACTGATCGCAATGTGCCAAAACGACTGGGTCCCAAACGAGCAAACAAGATCCGAAAGATGTTTGTAAGTATACGCATGTGATTGCCTATCGTCGAGTGACTTTTTGTCACGATGAAATAAAAAGGCAGCCGCTCAACAAAGTCACAGTCACTCACTCTCCTACAATCACCCTAGGCACTGGAAAAAGAAGACGACGTCCGCAAATACGTAATCCGTCGTGAAATCCCCGCCAAAGAAGGCAAGGAGAAATCAAAGGCCAAATCAAAAGCCCCCAAAATCCAACGATTGGTTACTCCAGCCACTCTTCAACGCAAGAGACGTCGTGTTGCATTGAAGAAGAAGAGAGGTGAAGCTGCCAAGGAAGCTGCTGCTACATACGCTGGTGTCTTGGCTCACCGTCTCAAGGAACGAAAAGAAAAGAGACAAGAATTGCATCAAAAGAGGCGATTGAGCAGTACTCGAAAGAGTTCAACTGCTCCACAATAATCGTTATGAAATTGTTATGGGTGGTATTGCTAGCGCTCTTGTAGAAATTTTTTACACACAAACAGAATCGGGTTTAAATCAAGAAGAGGTGTTTTTGTGATCTTATTTGCTGTTTCTTTGGGTTATTTCTTGTTGATTTTATGCGCGGTTGTCACTCGCTTCGTTGGCTCCAACAAAAAACACTTTTTCCTGTGCTACCTTCCACTGACGCTCGTAATAGTTCAACAGGATATATATAGAGCACTTTGACATTTCAAATTTTCATTTCTACCTTGCTCTTTACAAGCGCCAACGAGCCTTGAAATCAGCTGGCTCCTCACGTAACTCTTGCTGCATCACCATCACCTGCGACGCAAACTGGTATGCCTCATCATCACTACTCATACCAGCATGTCTGTGATACGCCCACTTCCCACTAACTAGTGGTCCGAACGATCTTCCTCCAATCTTCTCACAATAGGACTTCGTAAAGGATTCTAGCTCTGCATCTGGCACGACGTGTGAGACGAATCCGTGCTGCAGGGCTTCGGATGCAGGGACCAGGTCACCGCTGAATAGGAGACGAAGGGCTTGTTTGGCGGGCTGGGATGTGAAATGTGATTAGACGGGTAAAAAAAGCACTGTTGCAGAACCTGCAAAGACAAAGGCCTTTCACACTCACGACAGCGTTTGGACGGCCTAAAGGTAGCGATGGTGTTGTGCAGAAACCTCCATTGTTGACGCCTAATTGGAGAGTGTGTTGTGTTGAGTATGTTGTCTGTCGCTTTGATGACAATCTTGAGGCTCCATTCGCATTTTTTTATCTGTCATCATTAACTGGACGGCCCAAAACAAGGCATCACCAAAACCACCATAAGCTTGAGGAACGCATAAATCTATAGCTTACCAGGGTATTGGAATTGTGACTTGTCCGACGCGATAGCCTGATCACACTGCGTCGCTAACTGCAGTCCTGCAGCGGTAGCTATTCCTTGCACTCTGGCCACCGTGACCTATATATAATATCGTGTGATTAATAAATGTCTGTAGTTTTGGAGCAAATAATGCCCATCAACTCGACCAGACGTGACGTTGTTATTCGACGCACCTGTGGAATCCTCTTAATATACAGCATTGTCTCAGCACATAAATTGAAGAGATCTGACTTGAATTCACGTGGAGAGTTCATGACTTCTTTTAGGTTGTGGCCTGAGCTATGTGTATAGGAGGAAATGAACAAAACGATCAAGAGGAAAATGATTTATTGGTGCGACAGCATCGGCATCTGCAGCTAACCTGTATACAGGGCCGGAGGCGGTGAAAACCACACATTTGACGTTCGAATTAGCACCGCTGGCAGCCAATGAGGTCTTTAGATCGTTTACATCGAGCCAGTTAGGCGACCAGACCCAACCTGTAAGACAAAAGTGTTAGCTCTGGTAAACAAGGCAAGGAACAACGTACAAGCGGCGAAAATCAATTCTTTTGACGTTGCAATTGAGTTTCAGCCACTACAATTGACTCGTCGTATTCCCAAATTACAAACAAAATTCCACGAAACACATACCAGGATTAATGCTCTTCAACTTGGCCAACATATCAGCCAGCAGCAAATACGACAACGAGTTCCTTGTCGACGAATTGTTTAAATGTATGTACGCAACCCCATTCTCGATTCTCAGTGTCGTTGGTTCAGATGCGAACTTTTGCACAAATGGTGCGTCAGCCCATTTCAAAGCGGTAGAGGTAGGCAGGGAGTGCTGAGCAGATGCAGACATGGTACGGTATATGGTTGTGGTTGGTGCGGGTCGCTGGAGCTTGAAGAGTAGTCTGGGAAGAGAATGATGCAATTTCATGATGTGGTGCTGTTTGTCACGTTTTATAGCAAGAGCCGCAAACACGTCCTTCCGCTCATAAAAAACACCAGAGGTTGGCAAGATGGTAACTTGTAGAACGCAGATACGATTCCTGACGCGATTTGCTAAATCATCATCATCAACATGCATACCTATAGAACAACGAAAGACACGATTCCTAAAGGCGAACTGATGAAGCAAAATGCATTTAACGTATATCGGAAATGTATGTATGTACAGACGGATCTTGTAGTGTATAAGGTCAAACAGCATCTGGAACATAACAAGTGTGTTTGAGCTTAGTTAACTCTCTGCGGAGGCAAGAAAAAAACCGGAGCTTACAGCGGCCGAACGATAGAAAACCGCGGGGAAGATTGTATGCACGCGTTAGGACGTGATATTAACGTGTATTTATAGCGGTATGTATTACTATGATGTTGCTACTATAAGTGTCGTACGTGAAATCCCAACATCACCGAATTCCAACTGCTCTTGCTGTGTCTACTCGAACTTTGCACTACTCATAACTCGCACCATACGACCCATAGATGGCGTTCCAGGCCGTGACGGTGGCATTGAAAGTTTGGGAGGCGGATTCGGCTTCTCTTGTGGTGATGCGTCATTCCGTTTCGGAGGAGACGTTTTGGCTGCAGCTGACTCTTGCTCGTCATGATTAAGTCTCGACAATAAATTGCTTTGACTCCAAGATCGTAACAGCCCACCTCCCATCCCACCATTCTGAGACTGCTCAATAAACTGGAGTAGCGATGGTGGCATTTTCGAATCTGGTGATAGCAGCCGTATAGAGTCTGGGGAATCATCTGCATCGCTTGTGGATGAATAGTCTGTGCTTGCTGAAGGTGCTGTTGATGGGGTTGTTTGCTCATTGTTGCTGGCACGGTAGCTGCGTATTGGAGCTTCGAGTGGGAAGAATGGGGACGTCTTGGTCGGGCTCTCGATATCGATTCGTTCATACCGGTTCTGCCAGATGAATCCACCGGTTTTCCACCATGGTGTTTGTTTGCGGTACATGTAGATGCCACCACAGAGCAATACAAACAGTACGACTAATACGGCAGTACCGATCGACATTGATAAGAACTGTGCGTGACCAGCATCTTGAGAGATTGCGATATTGCACTTGCGGTATCCTGATTCCATTAACGTTGTATCTGAATCTGCACATCGGCCACGTATGGCTAATTCCCAACTGACAAGGAGTCCAGTGTTGTCGTTGCCGACATCTCGTGTATCAGTGACTGTTAACTGCCACGATCCAAGTGGTGACTCTCCCCAACAATGTACTGTGCTAAATGTCCATGAATCATATCCGTCTGAAGATATATCTCCAGGTCGTGGCGGTGCCAAAACAGAAACCGTCTTGGATGGCGATGTCAACGAAATGGTTACTTTGCCTCGTATAGGAGCCTTCATACGAATTGTAACTTCAACATGCTCCAAACTCGAAATCCCAGAACTTCTAACATCACTTCTAGTGAAATCAATGAAATCATTCAATGTATCTCCAGCATATATGACTCGATTCGGGTATGCTGTACGAGTGCTCGTCATCTGAGGAATGGGTAACGAAGTCCAGTTTTGGGATGCGAAAACGGCAGCTGAAGCATCCAATTTCCCAAATCCGTAGCTGTGAGAAATGTTCCGTCCTGCCCCGTTAACATGCCATGATGAATCGTTTGGGTCTGTTATTTTGGCGGTATCGACGAGGATTTGTTGAACGTCTCGCCAATGTAATTTTGGGTTTGCGGATAGCATTAGCGCTATGCTTCCTGATACGAGAGGTGCAGCGGCAGAGGTTCCTGAATGCTGATTTGTGCATTGGCCGTCTACGTCGGTTGTCGTCTGCAAAGCAAAACAATTTGTTGATAAACCGCCCAAATGTTTTTAAACAGGTTCCCACTAACTTACGATTCCATTAGTCAGCCCTCCCGAATAAGTGACAATCAGATGTGCCGAACACGTCTCTCCATAATCTGGCTTTCTTCCATTACTTTGTATAGCACCAATAGCAACCGTATACACCGAATTAGCATACCCATCGAAATTACAATCGTCTTGATACAATCCTCCATTCCCACTAGCAAATACGAATATGTTTCCACGACCTCCTCGTCCTTGATTCGTTCCTCTCTGCATGGCGAGCTTTGTCAAATATCCAGGTCCATCTATCGAAGCACCATCATCTGATGGACCCCATGAAGACGAATACACATCGTTGATTTGAGAAGCATATGTTAATGCTGATGCTTCGACTGCGTCCGTGTTTGATGTTGCGATTAAACGTGCACCGGATATTTTGCAGCCTGGAGCAACTCCTACTCCACATACTGAATTGTTTGCTACTGCTGCTATTTGGCCTGCACATCGAGTGCCGTGTGTTTCTCCTGGACCAGGAAGCGGGGAGTTGGTTTTGGTCATGAAGTTGTAACTGGCATCCGATCGCTACATCCATTGGTATATCTTTTAGAAGGAACGATTGTGTACAGAGACCATGCTGCAAAGGGGAATAGCTTACCCAGTTTGGAAGCAAATCAGGATGGTTGAAATCTATTCCATCGTCCAATACGAGAACTGTCACGCCAGTTCCATTGATACCAGCGTCCCAAGCAGGTACCACATTGATGTCTTGATGTGACGGTTCACCAAACATGCTTTCTCCATGCTAGGAAGATTACCGTTGAGGGTTTTAGTTACATGTCTCGATGACAGAAGTCATGTTGCAAAAAAAGCTTCAAACACTTTACCAGATGCCATTGCCACGAATACAACGGATCATTATACCTCCAATGTCGCGTATATCGCGGCCTTATATTCTGGCTTTCAAACCACCTAACGTGCTCATGAGCCAGTAAAGCCGCTTCAGCTTCCTGCCTCCTCTGTAAACGATCACTATTCGTCGAATCACTTCCACGATCAGCATCAGAAATCAAGAAGTAGCCATCCAGGTCACCAACAGGTCCTATAAACTCGAATCCTAGACTGCGTGTACTGGCATTTGCTTCCTTTGTCGTGTACGCTCGTCCTCTTGTCTCGTCATACAAGTGAATTGCGTATGTGTTGACGTGGGCTGATATTAGTCTCGTGTGGAGAAGCAAGAAGAATACGAGATGAAAGACAAATCTGTTTGGAATGACTCGTGTCATTATTGTAAAGCAAATTGCTTCACGATAGTGGGATTGGGAGTTGCATCGGACTCAAAATTAGGTTTCGAGCGCAGCTTCCTTTTTTTTGGATTGGTGTGGGATTTGGTACATCATCCGCCCAGGTTTCGTACGAGCATACAACGTGCATTTCGTAACGTGTTGCATGGTTAACTTGTTGATACCATTGGCATGTTGTTGGTGTCTTGGTCTTGTATCGAATTGTCAACTTGGAATAATATAATATTTTTCTGAAAAATCTCCGGAAAGGTTGTACCGTGTTGCACTATGCGTTTTGGCACTCGATCTATAGTCCACGCCACTGCACAAATTGCCAGGCTCCACTACAAAAGATCATCACTACTTTGGAGCCGCATTAGCTCCTTCACCAAATCACACAAGAACAACGCATCAGAACCTGTCGAGAGCTATACCAGTCTCTCACCATGGAAGGAGATCTAGTCCCAGAATCCGTTAAAGCACTTGGTTCATCAGCATCTCCAGCAACCGCCGCCGCCTCATCTCCTGCAGCACCACATTCACCCTATGTTGCAATTGAAGTCGCTAATGCATCACCACCGGTTGACCCACAATCTATCAACAAGAGACATTCAACTGCAGTCCACCCAGAATCTGCTCGTCCACATGATGCTGTGACTAAAGATGATGGTGGATACACGCTTTCATGGCACGATCTATCGTATACAGTAAAGATCGGCAAGAAGCCGCAAGTTTCAAGAGTTTTGTTGAATAACCTTAATGGATTTGCAGCGCCTGGAGAGTTGGTGGCTATTATGGGTGGCAGTGGTGCTGGAAAGTCGACTTTGTGAGTCAATAAAGCCTTTTCCTACATTCTTTTTTTGTTGCCCCTTTGCTCTGGCACTTTCCTTACAGTTTTCATACTCATTTTCTATTTTCAATTAGATTAAACGTCTTGTCTGGCCGTGTAGGAGCGGGTGAACTGGGTGGTAAAGTCTTGATCAATGGACATGAACGTTCACCCAAGACATGGCGTCGAATCGCTGCTTGCAAGTATTTCTGCAATTGAGGTGTGGATTTGTTTTTCATCTTTCTAACATTTATCATGCTTGTCTTATAGTTTGTGAACAAGATGAACTGCTCTTTCGTAACTTAAGTGTCCAAGAAACTCTGGAATTCGCTGCCAAGTTACGACTACCAAAGTCGCTGACACATGCACAAAAGATGGAACGAGTCAACGATGGTATGACCTTTTATTCCTTGTCTGAACAACCCTTGCAACTCACACATTCAACTTAGTGATTATGGAACTTGGCCTATCACATATCCGAAGCACGCCGATTGGAGACTCTGAATTACGAGGAATATCAGGTGGAGAACGTAAACGAGTTGCTATTGGAGTCGAGCTCTTAACTCGTCCCAAGATCCTGTTTCTGGATGAGCCGACATCTGGGTTGGACTCGTTCAACGCCAACAATTTGATGACATTGGTTAAGGGAATGGCCGTGTCCCGTCATCAAACTGTTGTTGCTACCATTCATCAGCCCAGAACTGATATTCTGGAAAAGTTTGATAAGGTTATCTTGCTTGCTAATGGGAAGCTTGTTTGGTTTGGTACTGTGTCAGGTATGACGGACGATTTTTTGCTGCTAATATTTCTTATTCAAACTCGCGCCAAACGTGTCTTATACCGTGTTTTACAGGTGCCCTTCACCACTTTGCATCATTGGGATACCCACTACCTGATCAAACCAATCCGTCCGATCACTTCCTCGACATTGTTACCCCAGACAGAAGAACCAAGGAACGAGAAGCAGCATCACTAGACAGAATCGAAACGTTCGCGAAAGCTTTCGAAGCTGCTCCGAAAGCAGTCATGCCAGATACAAGATCAGCAGATGACGAGTTGAAGGATTCAATTGCTACTTGGAACTCTACGTGGTTTTACGAATTGACAGTCTTATTTGCTCGAAACATTAAAGAAGTATTTAGAGATAAGGCTACGTGGTTTGCTACGATTGGACAGTCGATCTTCTTGACTATCTTGCTTGGTATGCCTGTGACCAGCCAAAAATACCCACCCTCTTCCTTATGAATAATATCACTGACGATTCTTCTGTAGGCTTCATATACTTTAGAGTTGGATTAGACTCTGGAGGGTATGCTGTTGTGAGTGCACTTCCGTTTAAAGAGATACTGACTCAAACCTGACTACCACTAGAATTCAAAACCGTATTGGAGTTCTTTTCTTCGTCTGCATCAACCAATCTTTCGGAGTAATCATGCCACAACTACCAATCTTTGTGCTGCAAAGAAGCATCGTGAAGCGCGAGAGGGCGGCTGGCTCTTATCGAAGCTCATCAGCGTACATAGCCAAAGCGCTATCAACAATCCCAATCACTCTTCTCGGAGCTTTACTTTTGGGAATACCGTTATACTGGATGATTGGCCTGCAAGCTACTGCAGCCAAGTTCTTCACTTTCCTGCTGATTTTGGCTGTGCATGCTTTTACTGCCAATTCGGTTGGGCTCTTCCTTGGATCTATTATTCCCAACTTGGTGGTTGGACAGATTGTTGGCCCATTGCTTATTGTTGTGATGCTGCTGTTTGCTGGACCGCTCGCTAATTTGGATACTGTGCCGGCAGCGTTGAGATGGTTTGTCACCTTCGTCAACGTGCATTGCCTCCTTTTTTGCGGTGCACTCAAACTGACCTGGAATTCTTTTACCTAGGATCCAATGGATTAGTTTTGTTAGTACGTGACCACTTTTTTGATTCTCTACCGTTTGGCATGTCTCTAACAAAACTTTTGCTTTCACATTAGCCTACTCAAACAAGGCACTAGACCAGAACGAATTCACAGGACTAGTTTTTCCAGCCGGTGGACTCTACTCCACTGGCGAGGCAGTGATATCGACATACAAGGTTGATAATCCAGCCATGTGGTATTGCATTGTAAGTTACAAAGGTGTTGACATTACGTTTCGTTTCGTTTGTTCTTTTTCGCACGTGAACTAACTTTCGTTTTCGTGGTAGCTTATAAACTTTTGCATGGCATTGGGCTGGATGTTTCTTGGATATCTCGGATTTGACCGTACTTCGAGACCACTGTTGAGACTCAAATAGGTCTCATTGTGCATGAGCATTTTTCGTATACTGTACTCTTTGTGGTTTCCTAATACACTACTGTGAGCTGGAATAACGAGGGACCTTCGCCAGTTTGTCTCAATAAGTGACGACATTGTTTGAACGTACAAGTTCTTAAAATAAGATGTATTTTTTCCTCCCCGATCAAGTAGTCGAAGAAAATATACTAGCGGTTACTTTTGATATGCTCTCTTTACTCTGGGATTGGACGCTGAAGGGTAAGTTCCATCGAACAAAATCCTTGTCTGAACAGAGACTGACTCAGATCTTGAAACCAATTCAGCATCCAGAATCGTATTGGGGCACTCTTTTTCATCTGCGTCAATTTCTCCTTTGATGTGATTATGCCACAGCTACCAATCTTTGTCTTGCAACCAACTGTTGTGAAGCATGAGAGGGAAGCTGGTACTTATAGAAGCTCGTCATCGTTCACTCATTTACAGCAAACGCTGTTGGAGTGTTCTGAGGATCAGTTATTTCCAATATTACAGTTGGACAGATTCTCGCTCCGACACGTATCATCATCATGATGTTATTTGCTGGTGCACTTTCTAATATGGACACTGTACCTGCAGCATTACGATGGTGAGTCTCATTTATTCAAGTTCAACGCTTTGTCGTGACAGTTGTCGCCATGCGAGGGAATAGGCTGATTTTTTCTATTCTGACTTTGAATTTACATTCCTAGGATTCAATGGATCAGCTTCACCAGTATTTTTACTTGGCTCTCATTTGCCTGCTCATTGTGGTGATTGTGCTCATTGAACTTGTTTCTCTGTAGTGTACTCGAACAAGGCCTTGGTCCAGAACGAGTTTGATGGTCTGGTTTTCCCAGGTGGTGCACTGTATCCAACCAGTGAAGATGTGATTTCGACATGTAATGTTGGAAATCCAGAAATGTGGTACTGTATTGTAAGTTGTGTTGTTCAAGATATCTTCTATCTTAGAAAATGTATGCTTTTTTGGTCGTCGACTCCAGTTTCGTTCCAATCTCCTTTTTTATAGCTCATCAATGTCTTTATGGCTTTCGCATGGATCCTACTTGCATATCTCGGGTTTGATAAAACCTCGAAGCCGACGTTTCGTTTGAAATAGAGTTTGCTTGAAAAGTAAACCATTCATTGTCATGTATTTTCTTCATTTATACAACTTTATTTACCATCATCTAGACAAACCCAATAAGACTACTCTTTACATTATACAACACCCCAATTGTTATATTTACAGTATACCAAGTTCTTTATATGCTGGTGTTCACATCACGTTCAAGATACCCCACGGATTATACGCTCTCTTCATACCAGCACTCAAGAACTTCGCAGCTGTAGCACCACCACTACCAGCAGCCGCTGCAGACGGTGATGCAGCACTAGCCGGACTTGCACCTGCAGACGGTGCAGGACTCTCAACAATGACAGTTCCATTAGAAGAAGTCGGTGGCAGTGTAATCATGGAGGCTACCGACGGTACCCCACCAGCCAGAATAAACAGATGGTAGTGTCCTGGAGGAGCAATCATGCCGCTAAACGGTGAAGCAACAAACACGACTCCTGTTTGCTGAGACGTGATGCTCAGTTGGATTGTTCGTTGGTCAGTGTTTACTGATGCTGCTGTTGTGGAGTAGCGGACTAGAGTGACCATCGAGATGCTGGTAGCTCCAGAGTACTTTATAAAGAAGACGGTGCCGTATGTGAGTGGGGTTTGGACAGAGGATATTACGGGGCGCGTGCCGAGAGATAGGTACTAGAAGGTTTGTATCAGTACCAAAATACTTCAAGAAGTATCGACACATAGTATATCATACTGGTGGCGAGAACGCTTCCATCCGGTATTCAAATGGATCAGTACAGTTAAGAGCGACGGTACATGTCGCGCCGAATGTGACGGCGTCGTTCCAGTTCTGATTGTCTGATCCAACAGTGACGACTCGACTGGTAATGAGAAAGACATGTTAGAGTTGAAACTGACATGACGAGTCGACCACTGAAAGTTTTTTACCCGTCAGCCAACAGGAGAGAGCCAGAGGCGTAGAGACGCGGAACGGTCTAAATTTTAAACTTTATGAGCAGAGTATCTTTAAGCAAGCATTTTCGAGGGATAACGTACAGCAGCAGCTAAACTAGTCCATTGTGATCCAGCTGGAGCAGTTGGATCAAACAAGTCAGCTCCTAATACAGGTTGAGCACCTGTACCTGATCCAGCTACTCCACCAGCCATTCCATATGAAGCTCCGTTGGTGAACAGGACAGTTCCGTCTATAGGCCAGGTTGTTTTAGTCGGACAAAGAACACGCCAGCCAAAAGAATGGCATGCTCACCAGGCAATAATGTGGCATCAGCCATCACTCGCGCGTTGGGCATGGGATCTACAGCAGTCCAAGACTTTTTCAAACTTGTGAGCCTGGAATTCATTCTCACCCGATTCACAGATTACAAGTGTACTTACAGGACTAACAGCATCGGGATTGAGGATGTTACAAAAGTTCGAAGCAGTCAAATCGGTGCCAGGATTCGAATCCGGGTTGCTGGATTTCAGTACGCCTCCACAAACAAGAATGGTTGTCGTATAGCCGTTTGCAAGAGTTAATGGCAATAAGACGACAGCTGGGAAATTGCAAACAGAAATGTAGTTACAGTTTGTACGCACTTGAATATCATGAAAATCTTATCTCACCTGCAGTATACGGATAATCTCTCGTCCTTTGCGTCGCCGTAGAAAATGCAGGAATGGTCGTCGAGTCGACTGTATCGGTTGTTGGATCAATGAGAACCGAATTACTTCCAACGTGCACGAATACACGACCAGAGGGAAGGATGCAGGCCCAAGGTCGTAGTGAGAATGGGAAGAGAGAGCTCAAGACGTTGAGTGTAATGGGCCCTGCGGCCTTTGCTGGGTGGTATTCGTATGTTGGGTTCAAGTCTGTCACGCTGGATGTAGCAGCTAAAAACAAAGGCTGGATAAGTGATGGTAAATGACAGGCGCTCGCATTACATACCGTCAACTGAAAACGAATTTCCTCCAATAATCATCACACTAGAAAAAGAATCGTCAGAGACAGTTACGATAAACGATTCCGCATAAACAAACAAGCTAACCTTCCATCAACCATAGTAACAACCGTCGGAAACCATCGAGGACTGGACATTGGTCCTACAGCAGCTATGCTTCCAACTGTACACCCCGTAATACAGGGATTCAATACCCTCTTGGCAAGTCTTCCATCAGTAGTATACGTTCCAATATTGTACGAATCACCGCCAATAATAGCAATCGATCCGTTTCCAAACTGTGCCATGCCAGATCCATACGCGTTCTGAGTTACGCGGATAATTGACGCAGTTGGTGTGGACTTGCCAACGTTGATATCGACCATGGTGTCGATTGATGTTGCCTACGTGCATAATTCCTTAATTGTTGTAGTTTGTGAAAAAGGAGCAACAGATTCGATACCGATTTGAAGAGGTTTTGGTTAGGCGGATATGGAGGCAGGTGAGGTCGTTCCAGACAGAAAAGGTGGTTGTTGGGCAGTACGCCCGATTGTGCACTATTTCGCAAAACACGGTGTCAGTACAGAAAATCGACCACGTTTCGGATTTTTTGTGTACATCATACCAGACTGCCCTTGTATCCACCATAATAACAGCCCAAGACCCAGTTCTAGTAGGAACTGCAGCACGGCCTTCTCGTAGTCTGAGATGGTCGCCATTGACCCAGAATGGCAACAGAACTAGTAAAACAAAATATGTTGTTTTTTAGGGTTTTGTCTGATGTATGAGTCCCGCGGTTGATCTGGCAACAATTGAGACAGTTCGAGCACAAAATATACTGTTCTTACTTGCAAAAATGACAAGAAGGGCGGTGAACATGGCTGGTGCATCACAGAATGACGATTTTGATTTATCTGCTTTTGGACGCGTTTTTTGCATCGTTTTTGGAGGCACTTGAGGCGGTGGTGCGTCTTCATCCTTTAGTTCATCGCTCATCTTGGCCATGGCTTTACCAGCACGTCTTCCTACGGTTGACTTGCTCATCCTTCCTTGATCCTGAACGTTCAAAATTCGTTGGCAAAGGGAGTCGAATGGAAACGAAAACACATCTATCTCCGACAAACCAACCTGGACATCTAGCTCAGAATCACGTCTTGGCTAGTACTGGCAAAGTTGACATTTGGTGGCTGGTTATCCCGTTAGACCTTGAAAGACAGAACCAAAACGCAAAGCTCTCACTTTCAGGTGGATTTGGGGTTTCCTCCACCGTCATTGAATTCCGCTGCCTTAACAGATTACCTGAAAGTTTAGGTTGCCATCTTATTCTTGTTCTCTGCACTTTGAATTAGAATCTTGCGGCAATTGCCAAAAAGGACATTGAATTTCCTTTCAACAAGACAAAGATACGCATGATGCACAGGCTTTAAGTTACATTGATGCAAACTTAAATGGATACAACACGCAAACGGTGAGTCCAAAGCATCGTGTAGCCTGAAACTAATCCAAAAGGCCTCTATTTGATAAAGCAATGTTGAGAGTGGAATTGTGCTAGTAATGAATCAGCCAACATCTAATTGGAAGCATTTTCGGTTATTTCGCCATGTATTGGATGGTTTTGAGAACTGCTGCCAAACTTTATTGCGAGTGACATTTGGCACGTCAGAATGTTCTTGAGGCGGTATTTTGTCGTGGTGGAGGCTCTTTTTAACCTTGAATCTAACATGACGTTCATTCCCAGAACGGCTGTCGGCGTGTTTGAAACTTCAAGCACAATCAAGTCGTCTTGTCGACGCGTCATTGGAGGGTGGCAAACCATCTTCTCGTTACGAGATGGAGCTCTTTTATATCTGGACTACCTGCGACGTTGAATATTCTACAAACTTGTTTGGATGCACTTGAAAACTCGTGTTTTCGGCGTTATTTAAACGCAGTAGTTTTTGAAATTCTTTGGCGATGAAACCTATGATTTCAAATTTGTGGGATGACCGGCATTTGTTGGACAAGCTGTTATGCTCAACGTTTTACCTCGGGCCAGAATCAAAAAGTTAAAAAGTGTTCTCCGGGGCTGAAACACCATCTCCTTTGCTATGGCCAAGGTGGAAGTATGGGGTACGGTATCGCCCCCTCAACGGAAGGGTCCCTCCCTCACTCCACGTATCTTGGGTAAACGCAAGTCAAATACGAAGGAAGAGTTCCACTGAATTGACAAACTTGAACTGCACGGGGAAAGGAATACGGCAGAGGATACTTCAGACATATTTCACGATGTACTCTGACCGTCTATAATATTCGCTTCTGGAGATGTCTAGAAGCTTTGGTAGAACAATTCGACTGAATGAACACACACACTCGTCACCAAAAATGTTGCAGCGTTCTATTTTGTTTTTACAAAATGCTTTAAAAAATATGATTGGGGTATTATACTCCATTAGTATTAATATGATCAAGCAAGACTACCCTCCACATTCCTTTATTCAACTGTACCATAAACAATATCCTTAATCAAATTATCCAGCAACTCCAACATCAAAATCCGATTCAACTCTTTAATCTGCAGCATATTAAACAGCCTGGTAATACCCGCCACCGTATTAATCCTCCCCACAATCTGCTGTATACCACCAGTCGGCAGCGCACCAGATACAAGTAAATGCTTGGCAGCTGCTTTAGTGTCCTGAATTTCGACTTCGGTGCGTTGTGGGATTGGAGTTACAGCTCCGGGGGCTTGCTCCCACCATATGTCGTTAGGCCAAAAGTATGATCTGAGTTCATCTAGATAGGATACGGCGGATTCTTCAGACATGTACATTGATAGGTTTTTTTGAATGTATGAGGTCAGAGTAGCGTTATACGCTCGTCGTAATAGTTGTTTGACTACATGGAGTCCCTTTTGGCGAATCCATTGTGATGGGTCGGAGAGTGCGAATGCTTCTTCGAGTGTGGCGAAAAAGGAGTCTAGCACTAGTTCGAGTTCGTCGTCGGTAATTACAGGTGGTATGGTACGTTGTCTGGTTCTCGGTTGAGATGGATTCTGTGCTGATGCTAATGGTGATGTTGATAAAGTCCCTGATGATCCAGACGTTCTCATGGGAGTTTCTACCGAATCACCTGATTTACGCTGCCTTATACCCTCTTCAGACTTCCTAACTTCATCAGGTCGATACGGTACCGGAGGGGGTACCAATCCCGCTGGACCTACATTAGCCTGTATAGCAGCCCAATCTTCCTCCGTCGTAGTCTCCTTTGTCCGACGTGGTGATGACGGCGGCAATGACTCCTGATATCGTTTCGGTGGTGACGATGACGAGTCACTATTATACAAAGAGCCTACAGGGCTACTAGTTGATCGTTCTGGTGGTCGAATGGGTAATGGTGGTGGCATATTATTCGAATCGTCGTTCTTGGCAACGAGAGCACTAGTCCGATGCTTGGATCCTACAGCTGCTAGCCTCTCAGAGACATTCCCACGCGCAACGTCTCCTTTTCCATCAGTAGTACTTCTCGTCGGTGATTCAGGAATCAATGCCAATTTGGTACTGCTATTACTACGTTGCGTTGATAGATCATTATCACCAGTTGATAGACGTGATGGCACTTCCTTGGAATTACGTGGTGTCCGTCTTGGCACTCCACGAGCATCATCTTCCATATCATTCAGCAGAGAATCTAGAGCATTCGAAGCATTCACAGCCACCTTGAGAGCTCCTTTAATAGTCTGCAAGACACTACCACGTACATCAGCACCAATCTTCTTTTGAGGTTCTTTCACCACACTTTCTGGTTTGAAGAATGATTGCAGCGGAGCAGATTCACACATGGCTGCATCCGATACTACTATATTACACCACGTTTCTAAATCCCTCGACAACCGTCTAGCAGCTGCTCTACTACTTGTACGAGGGCGGTGTGGTAATGGCATCTTGGCGATTTTAGGAAAAGTCTTCAGCAAGACTGCTTCAAACGTCACGAAATCCGAATACGTCTTGCTAATCATCCATCCTGCCGTGCCATCTCGTCGTTCTATCTGTATAGTATATAGGAATTTATTACCTTTACCAGCCAAGGCCGACCCTAGCTTGCCAGGCTCACGATCATCTGATGAATCGTAAATGTTGATTTTGATGTTTTGTAGATTGACTCGTGCGCTCAATCCACCATCTAATACAGATGCTTCATCAATCATATCTACAAGCTGTGATATCTGTGACTGCAGACTAATCTTTGTGGACGTCAACTCTGATACTTTGGCCGATTCATTGGCCGGTGTCTTTTGCAGTATGTTGTCAATGACTATTAATTGCTCTCGAAGTCCTGCTACTGCAGCAATCAAAAAATCCGGTCCTTCAGAGGCCTGTGCTGACTCTAGTTGTTCAATCAGCAGCGCTGAAGAATCTTTGCCATCTTCATTGACACTCGAGCCATCATCGTCTACTGATGGAGATGGGGATGCTGTTTCATCACTATTCAGCTTGGGTATATGAGAGTCCATTTCGGGTGATGAACTAGCAAATCCAGCTAGTTCTAGAGCAGACTTGTTGTTACTATTGCTGGAGATCGAATAAGGTTTACTGCTTGTATTGCTTGATTCCGTCGTGGCGATAGAACCGTTACTGGGTTTGGGGATCACTAAATGCATATCATCTTGACTACTTTCATGTTTCATATGAGTCACAGTCTCGACCGTAGACTTGACTTCCTTGACGTATCGTTTGAATGCATCAGATTGCTTGAATGCATCAAAATGATTACGTTCCATTTCTTCCAGCACCAGATTCTGCACGGCACTGAATACATGAGGACTCGGTTTAGCCTTGATTTCATTCCTTAAATCTACTCCAAGATTTGGATAACCTGGTAGAAATAACGGGTATTGTGCTTTTGGTCCAAAGAATACAGCTAATAAAGACTCGGCATCGTTTCTCATGCTATCAATGCTGGCATCCATAGTTGAGAATTGACGATAGTTATCAGCCATTGAGTAGAATTGAACCAATCCTGGTCCACCCTGTCGAGAATCCATGAATTGCATGAATTCCAACAAGGCTTGATTACGAGTGAAGATGTCTTTTATAGTCAATGATTCGGGATCCAAGTCCGTTGACGATAGAGGAATATTGCCCAGCAAACTTTCGGCTGGTTTTAGACTTGATGTACCAGTGTTGGTTGGCACTGAATCATCGTCATCGAATCGATATGGAGCTGCTCGTGGTTTCCGTGTCGGTGATGAGTCTCGGTCATCAGCAGACGCTATATCTGCAGCAGCGGTGGATATATACATGACCTCTAATTGTAATTCGGCAGCATTCGAAGGTGCTTTGCCGTTATCACTCTCTAATGGAAACCACTGTTTGGTATACTTGTTTGGTACTAGTTTTTTGTAGGGTATGGAGACGCTTCCAATCAAATCATCTAGGACGCGAAAAAGAATGAGAAAAAAAGGGCGTAGAAATACGGTGAGATACTTACCCTTTTTCAAATTATTGACATTGTACACTTCAACCACGATTCCATTCACTCCTCTGGCACTATTCTTGTTCCAATCACTAGATGATGGAAAGCCGGTAAGCACAAAAAAGTTGCTTGCAATTCAAGAAGAAAAGCTCACATTTTGAAGCCTTGGGTCCAGATGGGATTAGACTCTGAAGCTACTTTGTTGGTTTTGTGGAGCACATTCCCACAGTATACTGCACAATAAACACCATTTTGACCCAGAATCGGCAGCCGGTTGGCTTCAACCACTACACCAAAAACAGATTATGGCTTTAGACATGAATCTTCTCGCTAAAATACAGTGTGGATGTGCACAACTTTACTCACCCTTGACAAATATCTCGTCCGTTTCACCATCAGTACGTTTCGTCCTCTTCTGAGTCTGATTTGGTGACAACCCCACACCCTTCTCAAAATTCTGAGCATCCTGTTTAGCCTGTGTCGATGCTAAATCCTTGAGTCCTGAAACTATATACTGGTTCAATTTATCGGGATCTGCGATAGCTTCTACTACGGATTCTAGAAGCGATGTGGCTGTAATTTCAGTTGTGAAGGCTACTAGGATTGGTGATGCTCGATCAGATGGTGGCACGACGTGCTCTACGAGGTATCGTCCAATGATACGTAAACGCGACCGTATCTTTTCGGTGGTGCTGTAGCGGTTGAAGCGTGATGATGGGTTTGCTTGTAGGTATTCTGGGAGTGTCGTTGATGTTGCTTCGAAAGCACGGTATTCTCTCTACAAGAAGACACCATAGTCAGTTTAACTGCTTCAAAGATCATGTAATTGAGGTGATCACAATACCATATGCTCGACAAACACATGAGATATGGTGAGGAAGGCCTCAGCAGCCCTGTGGCGCTTGATGAAGCGACCCAAAGTGAGCACTGCAGACCTAACCCCATCATGCACGAGTTCCGGAAACTCGTTTGTTTTCGAATAGTCGATTGGCGTAAACCACTGACATATATAGTCTCGTACAAACAAGTCAAGTAGTTTTTTGATTGCGGCTTCGATAGCTGGAGATCCAGGCCGTGCAATCATTTGTAAATCCTTTGGCTGTCAAGAAAGAGTAATAGATTAGCCTTCTCATGGTCGAAAAGGTGAAAGTCAAACGCCTTCCTATACAACCCATACGTTTCGAGGATTTGCACTGGGTACAACAGACCAGAGTGGCTCACTACTGCTATTTTCAGCAGCCAGTGGAGTTGGCATGCGAATATTCCTAGATTCACGCCATCGGGCCAGTGCCTCAGTAGAGGACATTGTGGGCACTCCATGTACATAACCTCCCAAAAACCCAGCAAAGATAAAGATTACATAGACAAAGAGTCTTGGCGAGAAGAGAAGCACGACCAGTAGGAACGGCAATCGTGTGCGTATGCCGGTTGGGAGTGCGTCGAGCGCCGTGGAGATGTAACCCTTATATATAGTTATTTGACTTCGAGGACCTGGCGGAATCAAATCCAACAGCGAGTTTACGATGATTCCACACCAGTGCTGAACCCATTCTAGACCGGGTATCTTGTCGCCATTTGGAGGTACGACTGTTGGCTCCTTGCTCCCGACATCCATGGCTCGAGGAACGTGCTCTCGCCACCGTCTTTCAATGGAATAAAGCAAGGTTTTGAAGATTGAGACTTTGAAGCCTTTCAAGTACAAGTACGAGAAAGGTCAAGGTTCTCGACGTGTAAATATGCATTTAATGAAGAGTCAATCAGTTACAACACGTGGAACTACTCAGCATGTACACTTGATTGCGAGTCCCGTTGAAAATTTGGATCCCAATTTGGATCCCGACTCGATTTTGACTCGAGGGTGGAATGAACTCATGCGTGCATATACTGTTTCTCGCAAATTTTTGTAAGAAGAATCGCATCCTTGGCGTACATCTTCTCTTAAACGCGTCGGATTGAGTAAGCCTACTAGTCGCGGCAAGAATTCAACTTCAGATTCTGAACTAGACGTATTAATGTAATGAGGGTAATCACGACCTCCAAGATCTATTTTCTAAGTGACGGCAACATTTCGCTTCTCATTCGCGTGATTTCCACTAGAATTGGTACCAAGATGTTCCAACTTCGAACATTTGACCAAGTTCTCGACAGTTCCGATATATTGAGGGCAGTTGCACCAGTGAATATTCTTTCCGTTCGGATCAAAACGTCATATATGACTTGTTCCAAACGTGACGAACCAACAAAGTCACACTCTATATTGGGTACAGCAATGCCACTCAACATTCAGACGCATTTATACCATGACCCTCAACTCACACTTGAAGCATATGAGCTGCAAAATGTTGCATTGGGAAGTGGCGCATGCAAATTAAATTTCCGAACACAACTAAGCTTGACTTCGGAATCACTTCGCAGCAAACTCTGTGGTGTTTGAATAGCAACCACAAGTCAAACCAAGACAATCCTCTTTTAACAATCACTCTAAATCCATATAAAAATAGGGGAAAATGGCTCAACAACAAGTTATCTACCAACAGCAACCAATGGCTCAAGTTGGTGAGTTCTGATCTGAAATGGTTTGAGGTTTGATGACGAGGGATTAGGGTCGAAAAGGGTGTACTGTGGTTGAATTAAAGGACTAGAGCTGTATCTTTATGGAAAGATGCTGAATCTTGAGCCTTGAAACTTATATCTCGACACAGTTGACCGTCATGACGTGGCACTGACCAAATTTGCTTCAATTCCGTTAGGAATGTATCCTCAGGTGGCCCAGCCAATGTACGCTCAACCTCCCGTCGTTATTGTTCAACAACAACCCATGGGAAATGGTCAATGGTCTTCTGGTCTCTGTGACTGTTGCTCTGAACTCGGCACTTGTTGTTTGGGTGAGTAGCGCTGGTCTCACGCCAACAAGCTTCACGTCCACTAACGATTTCGTCACAATCTCAGCTTGTTGCTTGCCCGCCATCGTTTACGGTCAAACCAAGGCAGCTTTGAACGGTCCCGGTGCATCATGCACTACAGGTAGATGCGAATATCCCTACAATTTAACAAAATAAGCGAAATCTAACCAAAACGACTGGAAAAAACGTCTAGATTGTTGTGTATACTTCTGTTTCGGCCATATGTTTGGTGCATGTCTCGGGGTACGCAAATTCAAGTTAAAGAGCCTGTTGCAAACGATCTGATTGTGCAATGGGGCCCGTGCCATCGCTATTATCACAAAAAACTAACTGCCTTCTGTCTGTACAGGGCGAGCTCCGTTCCCAAATCAGACAACGATCAGGAATTCCTGGCTCGGGAACTGGCGATTGGTAAGTCCTCAGACATTGCAAACAAAGTAGATGTCCATTTGTCGAGTGTATATCTGATTGTGGTTTTCTTTTGTAGCTGCACTCACTGCTTCTGTGGACCATGTGCTCTCACACAAGAGACTCGCCAAGTTAGCATCCTCACTAATCAACGTCGTTAAGAGCGTTCTGTGTGGAGATCTGTATAGGCTAGTATTCCATTCTTTTAAACCTCAACATCAATATAGAAATCCTCTGTCAATTCAATCGCTTAAAAACACGAAACTTTGTGGTGAAAATAAGTAATTTGTTGATTGTTTTTGGAACCACGTAGCAGAAAATGAGGACCTTCTGAGCTTCTACGCGTAAAATCAATGCTTTGTGCTTCTCTTGCTTGTTCTCCATATAGCTTGCTTGTTTATCGTCTCTCCGTTCGACAACCATCACACAGGCCGTCACGTTTACGAGACAGCCGAATCGAAGAGAGCAAGCTAGTGCCGCCTGCTTGATAGTATTTTATATTATTAATTCACCAATCTTGAGGACCCTGTAATCGTATACCATCCTCCTTGGTCTGTCGAGCAAGCATCATCACAAGCAAAAACATGGCATCCACCACGCCCCCTGTCATAATAGATAACGGCACGGGGTACGTTCCTAACAATACTAACTGCTTTCATATTTATGCAACCAATTCTCCTCCCTTTCGCTACGTTGTTTGATGCTCCAAACATCAAAGTCACAACACACGCTTGAATTATTGTTTCCTGATACATTTACACATACACTGTAGATATACAAAGATGGGATATGCCAGCAACAACGACCCACAATTTATCATCCCAACCGTCATCGCAACCCGTGAATCATCTGCAAACCAAACTCAAGGTGGCCAGGGCAATCTAGCCTCAAAACGAGGAATCGAAGACTTGGATTTCTTTATTGGTGACGAGGCGGTCGCTAATGAAAAGACGTATTCCTTGAAATATCCAATGAAACATGGCCAGGTCGAAAACTGGGACTTGATGGAAAAGTTTCATCAAGCCACCATCTTTCAGTATTTGCGTTGTGAACCGGAGGATCATTACTTTTTATTGGTAAGCATACAATTGGAGATCAGACTATACTTGGCAGCAGGACGTGCCAGGTTTTGACGCGGTCACTCAAGAATTGAACACGACGACAAAACGTCAGATCTCTGATATATACTCACCAAACCTATCAACTAGACCGAACCACCATTGAATGCTCCTGAAAACAGAGAATACACAGCCGAGATCTTTTTCGAATCATTTGGTGTCAAGGGTCTCTACATCGCCGTCCAAGCTGTGCTGGCCCTGGCTGCATCATGGACTAGTGGAAAGACCGAACAAACATTGACAGGAACTGTTATCGATTCAGGAGACGGTGTAACCCACGTCATTCCAGTGGTGAGTTGGGGTCTGTTGACTGGAAAGCATTGTGGCCTGGAGTCCGTAACACCTTTTTTGGCCTACCATAACCAAGTAATCTAACCGACCATCAATGTTTCCAGGCTGAAGGATATGTCATTGGCTCATCTATCAAACATATCCCCATCGCTGGTCGAGACATAACATATTTCGTTCAACAACTCTTACGTGAACGAGAAAACAGCATCCCTCCAGAAGAATCTTTGGAAGTAGCGAAAAGGATCAAAGAAATCTACTCATATGTTTGCCCGGATATCGTAAAGGAATTCAAAAAGTATGATCAAGAACCAGCTACCTGGTTTAGAAAACATGAATTCATTCACAGTGTCACAAAGAAGGTATTTTTCTGTTTATTGCCCCTTTTTTCGTCGTCTCGCCTGCTATCGTAATGTCCGCATTATGTTTACAACCATGTCCTTCTCCTTGACCAGCCTTATACCGTGGATGTCGGATTTGAACGATTTTTGGGCCCTGAAATCTTCTTCAACCCAGAAATCGCCAGCTCCGACTTTTTGACTCCTTTACCTGACGTCGTTGACCAAGTCATTCAAAGTTGTCCTATCGATACACGTAGAGGTCTTTACAAGGTATACGCCTCATGTCGGAAAATTGCTTGTTGTTTTTGCCCCATCCCTCAACTTCTCACTTGCTTTCCATTAGAACATTGTTCTGTCTGGAGGCTCCACCATGTACAAGGACTTTGGCAAACGACTACAGAGAGACGTCAAGAGAATGGTGGACGTCCGTCTCAAGGCATCAGAACAATTGAATCAAGTCACATTACGAGACGATGCAAAGATCAAGTCGCAGAATGTCGATGTCAATGTGATTTCTCACAAGAAGCAACGGTATGCTGTATGGTTTGGGGGTTCTCTCTTGGCAGATACGGTACGAATGAGTAGACTCGTAGTTTGACGACATTTATTGGTAATCTCGTTTTTTTTTCGCTCACATTCGTAACTTTATGCAGCCCGAGTTCTATAGCTACTGTCATACTAAGGCTCAATACGAAGAATACGGTCCAAGTATCGCTAGGTAAGAATTTGTTGACGACAAAATAACTGCAAATGTACAGAATGAATGACATCGCTGCCACTTTTCAACTTTAGGTACAATAAAGTGTTTGGAGCTATATTGTAGGAATCTTCTTTTACAGTTGTGCGGGAATACCAGGAAATACAAGATGGATTTTATTTTTGATTTGATTGTTTTTTGAGTTTTGAGTCTGTTTAGGTACCGATACGGCTACTATTCGCGTCAACCGATTTCGACATGTATTCCTGATGCACAAGCACTTTGATGCCACCCGCCGAGATCGATTTTCTTGAAGAGTCAAATGTTAGTCAGAACAAAGGGCAATGAGATTGTGTCAGTGTCTTTCTGATCAAAATGGTGGTCAAGAGGGCAGGAGCACAAAGTGCCGCCATACAACTTATACCAGTGGAAACTCAGAAGAATGGATTGGAGACGAAGGCAGGAACGCAGAGCGTTGCAGTGCAAGCTCCCAATCCCGCATTGCATTCCAAAATAGCAGCTGGGGCACTTAATCCAGCAGTAACGGTTCCAAAGACAGCACCATAAGCAGTAAGGCAGCTGAAAGCTACCGTATTACAGGCAGTTTGACAAAGCCCATATGCAATGAGTCCCGCATGGTCCTCATGAATGAAGTGTGAGCGCCGAAATGACAGCAAGAATCCAAAATGCCAAAGATTGTTTCATTGTTATTTATATGGATGGATTGACGTGGATTAGGATAGATGATTGCTCTTGGTCGCTTGCTTTTGAATGGGTCTTGGTCTGTGTTGGCAAAAGTGACTATAAAAAGCCATTTTTTGACAGGTGTCTGACGTGAACATTGTGTCGACGCGTAGACATGGGGGTCGAATGTGCATTCGATCGAAACATGCTTCTTGAACCCAGCTAGTTAATATTTTGATCCCTTGAATGGCTCACGAAACGCATCACCGTAAAAAGCTAGTTTTATTTCTTTTTTTCTATTTCATGGGATCAGGGAATAATCGTGGTACTCGTAACATTCCACTGGTAAGTTTAAGCCTTTGCTTTAGGAGGAATCATCTTACAGTTGTTGCAGGAATGCCGGGAAAATCCAAAATTGGATTTTCTTTCTTGATTGATTTACTGCTTTGTTTGGCTTTTGGCTTTTTGCCAACTACGGAAACGACCACCATTCTTCCCGACTGACCTGATCTCGAGTCGCTATTGCTCAAACACTTGTGATACCAGCTGTTTTGGCCAGCTTTGCTGAATGATTGGATGTTGGTCAGACTAGACCACAATACACTTTGTGCAAGGAATTTGGCTAACGATTGAAGTGAAATACGACGAGAGTGGCACATGTCACTGCCCAAGAAACAATTGAATCAAGTCAGACTACGAGACGCTGGAAAAGGTAGTTTCAAACTGTCGAGCTGTGATTTCTCACAGAATCGACGGGATGCTGTGTGGTTTGTTGAATCGCTCTTGACAGATGTGGTAAGAGCAGACTCGTCCGAAGTTGTTCCAGGCTTTGAAAATGTCTTTTTTTCGCTGACATTCTTGACCTCTTCTAGGCCGAGGGTTGTGTGGATTGATTCAGATACCAAAGCTCGGTCTGTGAAGTCTGATGCCAGCGTTGCCAGGTCAGAACTTGACGAAGAGGGTTACAATCACTGACACTTTCTCATCACAAACAACAGGCACAAAACTGATTCGGTGGTTACTATTTTGTAGGCCTTTATTTCAACGATTATCAAGAAAGACACACTGTGTGAGATTCTGATACGTGTGTGTTTGGCTGCCTATTATCGAAACTCCCTCGACTCTCTTGCCAACGAAAATAATGCTTCCTTTCTCCCAAAACGAAAATAATAATACTGCGTCTTTCTCCTCCAAATCACAAATTCACTCCCAGCCGTGATGTTTGGTTCCTAAAAAATGAAAAGTTGTGTTAGCACCACAAAGACAGACGAATACTACGAAACATTTCGCATTCACCGAGACAATACTCAAGTATTGTTCTCACCTTTCCTTAAATCGGGTTGGTTAACAGAGCGGGAGCGCAAAGAGTTGCCATACAAACTCCTAATCCAGCATTACAAGCAATGACCGCAGCTGGGACTCCAGCACCTGCCGTCACAGTTCCGAATGTCAGACCAGCGGCAGCATAACAGCTCACAACTGCTACGTTGCAGCCGCTTTGGCAGGCCCCATATGCTAAAAGTCCTGCTTTGACCGGTGCCAGGAGACCCAAGACAATGGCGATAAGCCAGAATAGTAATGATTGCTTCATTTTATGCTACGGAGAGTCGAGGTCTTTGAGCTGGAAGGTTTCTTAGTATTATCACGCTTTTGTATCTGTTTGGGTGGCTAACCAATCCGGGGCAATGGTGTAAAGCTTTTGGGGTTTCACAAACCCGGCTGAATGCTGGAGGACACTTCAATGAACAAAATCAACAAAATCAACAAAATCTTGATTTTCGTTTTGATACACGTGTAAGCAGCTCTAACAAAGCTCTGGAATACACTTACGCGAATATTCAATTGATGTGCTTGATCATCAGACGAGACCAATTTATTTATTGAGCTACTGCTACTTAATTCGTATTAAACTAACTATGACGACAGCGTATTGGGACAAGCACACTCCTCCTATTTCTGTGCATGTAATCTATTCCAAAGCTCAACTTCAGCCTCTCGCCATTGGTCGTCTCGGATATAGGGCTTCTCGTCGAATACGAATACATTTGAGCCGTGTCCCTGGTACCTGATTTAAGAGTGATGTCAGTCAAAATATTCTCATGATAGTGGTATCAGTATCATTTAGCAACTCTGTACAAGGACCGCAAACGCACTCTGGCCATTCAAGTTCCACCCCAGTGCTATTGGGATTCCCAGTCGCAGCAAAGGTAATCCATTTCTCAATAATTAGATCCGAGATAGCCTTTTCATCCTCCGTTAGATGTGGACTTTGAAACTAGCGTAAAACCAGAAGATTGTCACATTACCTCCTACTTGACAACCACTCTCAAACTTCCAAACCCAACTTACGACGAAAGGCAACTCAATAGCATGATGAACACCAATCTTATACGGATCAGAACTCTCCAGAGTCTTTTCCCATTGATACACATATACTCGACGTGCTGGTTCCTTGGCAAAGTGTCGAGCGAGTGCTTTGGCATGTGCGACAAACATGCTGTCACCAAGGATGGCAGATGCGGCTGCGGCAGATGCGTTATCGTATTTGTCCAACGGATCTAGTTGTGGTGTTAATACTCTTTGAGTATGAGGTCTGTTGAGATGCTGATTTGTTTTTGCTTACATTGAGCAAGAATCTCGTCCGCGTGCGCGGGACGTGTTGCTTTCACGTATCCATGAAGAGCTGCTTCGGTAGTCATTGCTTGTCCCCAAAGAGTGCCCTGTGACAGATAACAAGTCAGTGAGAAACTCGACGTCCGGCAAGGTTGTGTTCTGGGAATTTTCGCTTGCCTCGTCACGATTATATCCAATCAAAACTTCCTGTAAAGCATCGTCATGCGCCAGATTCTTGAAAATATCTTTATGTACGAGCACATCGTCAACAACGGGTCCAAATCGATGTAGAGGAGCTGGCACTTTGGCATATGCGTCCACGAGTTCGGCTGTGCTTTTCGTGACCAGGAATTCCACTCTTGCAGCACCTGATATGGAGTCGTCACCACCAGCAGCTTTAAAGAATGCGTCAAAGAAGGGTTGAGCTTCTGCGATGCTTCTTGGGCCACCGAGTGAAGCCGTTCCTGATTGTAGAATGGCACGATCGTATAGTCTTTCGTTGTTGTACATTAAGGACAAGGAGTGAATGGCTATTGCGCCGGCCGATTCTAGAACAAAAAAATAATAAGTTGGGCTTACTCTTGATAATTTTCCCAGATTTTTAGTGCTCTAACTTCAATGTCACCTCCAAACGCAGTAATACGAGTAGCATCACCACCAAATGCTGCAATGTTGTCTCGAGTCCTGTTATGTCTCGAACGTGTCAGCGAAAGACAACAAAAAGTGAGGGATAGATCTGAGACAATAATTTACCATCGTAAAGCTAAACGAGCATCTTCAAGTCCCCAATTACCAAAAGCTTGTCCCTTTTTATATTCCTGCATCTCTTTCGAAGCCAAGAAGCCGAAGACGTTCACTCGATAATTTGACTTAACCAAAATTACAGGCTGACCCAAACGAATAGACGCTTTAATAAAAGCATCGCCATCATATAGCGTGAAGCTTTGGGTTCCTGTGGCGAAAGCTCCACCATAAATCTGTTGAGAAGGGTAACGAAATCAGCTGTTTAATAAATCCAAAACAAAACCAGTTTGCCTTTTTTACCCAATGCATAACCGGCAGACCTTCAGCAGGGATCATAGATGCCGGTGGAGCATATACTGACAAATGGAGACAGTCCTCTCCAAAATTCAGCTTTTCCGAACGTCGAAAAGCAGGAATCTTGGAAAGTGTAGAGTTACTGGTTAATTGCGGTGGAGCATCCCTATAGTGTGGAAGTATTGTAAGTCAAATGGCCGTAATGAGAAGTACACTTTCATTCGAATCCCGTGAAAGATACGACTGACAACACATCAAGATCAGTTCCGCAAAAGTAGGCCCCATGATTTGTTGATCAGATGCGTTCGCATCCAAATACGATGCATCAGCAAGATACAATATAGCAGCCTCACATAACTTGACGTCTATTTAGAGCTTACTTGTATTCTTTACACTCTAACTGTCCACTCCATGGCAGTTTTGCAACAGGAGACTCCCAACGAGCAACAGCTTCGGAAAATGGAATTGCGAGCCATTTTCGGACGTTGGGACCTTCGGTTCCTATTACAGTACCAGCCTTCGTATCTATTACAGCGTCTGTTACCGTCATGATGATGGTGTAGCAACGTTGCGTCTAAAAGTGAATTTAGCGACGTTGCTACTGTCTGATGACTGGAGCTGTTGTCCACGTAGATCTTTCCTGCGCTTTGCTTCTTATCGCGAACAGATGATTTGATATTCAGAACGGACGTCCAAAGTAAGGACAGATCTAAACTCGAAATTCGAAAAAGTTTGATCATAGGCGATCGGTCTGAACACACATCCAAAAGTGCTCAAAAGAAGGTGCTGATAGCTAGATAATTGTATGTTTGTACTGAATATTCCACAAAGTTACCCCATGCACTCTGTCTTTACTCTTGCTTGCCACCAACTGTGACTTCTCGTTTGCCACCTATACTAACCACAGACTTCTGCTTTACTCTCCCTGATACGTAGACACTTCAAGCGCATCTTTCACAGCAGGCATATACTCCAACTCGCTCCAGATCGTGCGGTTCTCAAACCTGGGATGAGCACGTATGAATTTTAGGTAGTCCGGAGTACCTGGCGTCACAGTATTGTCTGCTATAATGACGGATCCTTTCTTTAAAAGGCCACTGCCAATGATGGTTTTGACATCGGGTAGATACATATCCTTCCAATGGTCGATGAAGAAAATGTCGACCTTGTCAACACCATAACGTTCTTTGAGAAGCTGTAGTTGTATATGCCGTGAGATCCCAAACAGTGGAAAAGAGTGTGCATGCGTATCAGATTACCTGGTACTTGTCTCCAAAAGCTCCAACAACGACAGTCACCTTGTCCTTTAAACCCGCAAATTCCACGATCTAATAAGGCAGACTAGAGGTTGAAATCCGAAGTCAACGTAAAATCGGGTCGTACCTTCGTGGCGATAGCGGCATACAGCGGATTGATCTCAAACGAGTAATATTTCCCACCAGGAGGCAAGTTCTTGGCAAAAGCAATAGCTGAGTAGCCCATAAACGCACCCAGTTCAACCATAATCTTTGGCTTTTCTCGCTGAACAATCTCCTCTACATGCTTCCCCTTCACATCTCCAACATTCATCAGAAACATTTCATTACGAGCGAAATTGTCGAGTGTTTTCAAGATCTGATCCGCATCTCCTTCTTGTCCATGCTTAAAGACGTATTGGATGAGAAGAGATTCACTATAAACACGAGAAAAGACTGTTATTAGAGTCGGATTGAAGAAAGAAGCGAGTTGAAATCCTTGTTGCACCAACCGTGATTGATTCGTCAACCATAGATAGAGTACACGATAAGCATTGCGAAGGAGTATAGACACCGTGCTAGCAATCGATAGAAATTGTCCCATGTTGCCTTGAATTTGAACAGTTTGCTAGTTTAAAACTTGACTTACCGTAAGTCAAGTAGTACTTCGCCTTTTGTAGTTTGTAACGTTCACCCGAGTGCATTCCTATTCGTCCATTATCCCAGTGGACCCCATTGAAAACGTGTCAATTGTTGGAGTATGTGAAAGGCCACGAGATTTGTCCGCTTAACACGGTCTTCTTGAGTTCGATGTTATGTTGGAAGTTGCAAATTGAAGTGATGGAGTTGGCTTGTAAACATTTCCAAGTCATGACTAGTGACGCGTGATTTTATTTAACTTGGATTATTTGAGTCGATGGCATTGGCATGTATGTGGTTGGAGGAAGCAACAGAGGCAGCCGATTTACAAACTACAAACTTGCAAAGTAACATCATGCATCAACGCTGGAACTGGTCCCAAATTCATGCAAGGAGTAATCACCTCTCATATTGATCCGTCTATCCTCTTGCTCTACGTTTGAATTGGGTGCTTGAAATGACAGCAGCTCTCCTCAACTGACAATTACTGACCTCGACTGTCGAAACTCCTTACTAGGCGATTGGTCGAAGGTCTCCGCCAAAGACTCGGATTAACACCAGTAAGTATTCAAAGCACCGGTCTACATAAGTCCTTCGCGTGAAATGTACTTGATTGGCTGTCAGATAATGTTTTGATTTCGAGATAGACATTCTGATTTATTATACATATCATAAATGGTCCTGTCAGACGCGTCAAAGTCCATCAATCTCTCGCAGATCTTCCCTGGATATTTGTTGCTTCGAAAGTGAACCGTTTTTTCTTCTCCCATCCTTCAGAACAAACAACATCATAGTACCTTGCCGAGGAAGGAGCTCGGAGACCGCTGCATAGTACTTTCATCATGTCAACCTCTACATCAGTAAGTGTTGCTGCTTCTCTCTCACCTTCAAAGGTTGCTTTTGTCTTGCTACGCGCCCGCCTTCAGTACTTGGGAGAATCGCATATTGGCTATAAGACAAAGTGGAAGACGTCGGTCAAATTCTAACTTTCGAACTTTGAAATGTCCATTTAGGCTGTTGTCTTGTCTGTTGAAAATCCTGCTCCAAGTGCTGCTGTCCCTGCTGCTGACGAAGGTCGTGTTGAAGATATGCAGCTAGTTTTATATAAACCTTGGCCCCACTTCGATGATTCGATGCCCGTAAGTACTCTTTTTTCTGAAATTGAGTTTGGTAGCTACGTGTCTGGAATGCTGGATTCTGCTTGGTTGCTGACGAATTATAACATCGGTGTTGGAGGAAAGAGTACGAGACATTCGGTCACATACTAACCTTTTCGCATGAATGCGTATTTAGGACTACGTACTCGTTCCGCCGCCTTCACCAACTGCTGACGAGTTGCTGGCTCGATCAATGCAAATTGTGAAGAGAGACAACCCCTTCCGAATTCGTGATTTGCCTCTGGACTTGGTCGTTGCCATATTGAAAAAGTATGTACGCTGAGCCATTTTGATAGCTGCTGTGACCATGTCTTCTTTTAAAGGTGCCGCATATGATGCAGACTGCATTCTCACTTTTCACTTTTTCAGTTTGAAGACTCCCAAGGCTGTCTTCAATGCTTCTTTATCGTGCAAATCTATATACGAGGTGGTAGAAGAAACGAAGTACAGGATCTACTGGTCTACAAGGCACCCACTGGTTGAACCTTGCCTCAGGCTCAATATCAATATGCAACGTGCTTTACAGTTGGTTGCCGGTCGTAGATGTGAAATGTGCAAGGACCTTGGTATCATGGACTGGGATGTTATGGAGAGATTCTGCAGATACTGTCGAAACAGCTAGTAAGTCACTTTGAAACGCTTCACCGGTTTCGCTTTCTGTCAAAGCGAATCTGACTTGAGCCGATTTAGCATCATGAAAACTGCCAAACAACTATCCACCTGGTATCCGAACGTTCCAGCTTGTCTCATCGCAGCCTTGGGAGTCACAGAACGAGGAAAGACACGTTTCTCCATCACCGAAATGGGGGATATGATGAATCTGTATCATGTCTTCTGTGAGAACCGCGACCCTGACACCTGGGAAACTGAATTGGAGCTGCTCATGAACATCAAAAGAGAGTACTCGACGAACCTCCGGAGCCTTGTCACGGACTATGTCAAAGGTCGTGTGCAATACAGAAAGGACGACCTTCTCAAGAGCTTCGGATTGTCTGCTGGAGAAGTGAACAAACTATATAAGATAACAGACCGCCTGAAACAACCCCATCACGACTGGTCAATTCTCAAAGATCAACTGCACGCAGAATCACTAATGCAGCGTAGCAACATAAAGAGGGAAAGGTTGATGTGGTTGAAACACACATACACACGCCATGTACTTGTGAACGGTAGAAAAGATGGCCTCACATACTGGACTCCCAAGGACTTTATAGCTCATCCTAGTGTATTGAGTTGGGTTTCTACGGATTATGCTCATGGCTGGCCTGTGGCGAACGACGAAGACACTTCTTTATTGCCCAATCATAGCAAGTGGTATGCTAAGTTTTTGGATTTAGTAAACGAAACCAAAGGCACTACAGTCTTGATTGAGGAAGTGGATGAACCGGTAGTATAGGACTAGTCGCTAGATGCTGCAGGGAGGATATATAAGATTATAGTATGGATAATTGTGGTTTGTTAGTGTTGGGGTTGTTACGAGGGGAGAGGTAGCTAAGATAAATAAAGGGATGTTTGGAGGAAGCTTGATTGGATTTGGAGGAATTGAGGGCAGAAGGTGCCGGTAAAGTAGCGTGCTGTATAATAGTGAAAACGTCTGAACTGCTCGAAAAAACTGTTGATCCTGCGAGTCTTTGTTTACCGCCCCGTACAAACTTCGAGGACTGAATTCTAAGAAAAAAACAATTATTATCAAAGCGTCATCCTCGAAATTTGCTTGCTCATGCTTCAAAAGGGACCCTCGCGAAAACGGTACAAGTAGGACCAAACCTTGCATCATTGCAATCTGAGAAACGTCTGGCATCTTGCATAGGAGACGGGGTGTCTTGAATTATATTGAAGCCTTAGAGTATACTTAAGTACTTCTCTGTCACAATTTCCTTGTTAGTCCTGGGGCCAGTTCGAATCCCAGACAAGGTGTCCCGCACCGACCTAATATTTTTTTCCCGAACTAAATCGTAAAATCTAACGAATCGTAGGATCTGACTTTGTGGGCCCTGAAGCACTTCTACAGCTCAAATGAAACGATTAAAAAAAGGAAAAAATTGAATCTTTGCGAAGAGGTTGACTTCAATTTGTTAGCGCCTGTTCATTGTAGCCCTCATACTCTACTTTAGAAAGCAAACTTTGTGGCAGTATATACCCAGGAAAGACTTTTTATGGTGGGAAATCTCTTTGAAATATGAAGCTATCATATACGTTCACCTCGACCTTACTCACAAAGCAAAAAAGCACCAGTCCCTCTCACTTTCGCTCACTTCAAAGGCAACTTCACTTTCAATCCCGAGACGAACCCATGGATAGCATGCAGTTTTTACAAGCAGAGAGAATATCTGCCCACTCGCTAGAAGGCAATGCTGGGGAAAGTCGCCTTCAAAAGTGATTCAACGAGGCTGTGGCTGACTGATGGCCGGAGTTTGAAGTTTTTACGTAGACTTTGCTTGCATCATGCTGTTACTTGCATCACGAACGATTCTATTCTCAACTCAAACAATATCAGAAATGGCTTGAAGTAAGGACAGATCTAAAATTGGAGATTAATCATCGGCGATCGGTCTGAAAACACATTCAGAAAAGCTTAAAAAATGATTTCCAAGGCTTTTCTAAGGAATATTTGTACTAAATATTTCACAACGGTTCCCCAAACGCCCCATTTTCACTCGTCCTGCTTGCCGCCTACACCACAAACCCTTGCCTGCACTCTCCCTAGTACGTAGATACTTCAAGTGCATCTTTCAGAGCAGTCATATACTCCAACTCGCCCCAGATCGTGCGATTCTCAAACTTGGGATGAGCCCGCACGAACGTTAGGTATTCTGGACTATCTGGCATCACAGTATTGTCGGCCATAATTACAGATCCCTTCCTCAAGAGACCAATGCCGATGATAGTCTAGACATCGGATAGATACATATCTTTACAGTGGTCGACGAAGGAGATGTCAGACTTGCTAACACCGCAACGTCTTTGAGAAGCTGTAGTTGTTTATGGTGTGAGCTCACATATGCTGCAAAAGAGTCTGCTTTCATATCTGATGCTCGGTACTTGTCTCCAAACGTTCCAACAATGACAGTCCCCTTGTCCTTTAAGTCTGCAAATTCTACGATCAACAAGGTCACCGTCATTGTTGGAGCTTTTGGAGACAAGTATTGCAATGATCATACAATAGGAACGAACACCATTTTCAAGCTTCTGTGAAACGTCTGGCATCTTGCTTTGGTGTGATAGGGTGTCTTGCTACCATAGAGAGGACTTGGATGATATTTAAGTAGTCCCCAGTCGCTATACCTTGTTAGTTCTGAGGTCAGTTCGAATTCCAGATTCCAGAGAAGGTGTCCCGCACCGACCCATGGTTTTTTGCCGAAACTAATCGTAACAATCTAAAAAAATCGTAGGTGTGACCTTTTGGGCTCTAAGACCCTTCTACAGCCCAAATGAAATGATTAAAAAATTCATCCTTGCGACAAAGTACAATTTGTTACCGTCTGTTCAATATCGTCCTCGTACTGTATACTCGTTTGAGATCAATCCGCAGTATGCTGATGTCGCCATCAAGAGATTAATTGATTTCAGTTTTACTATCAGCTAAACTTTGGACTCTGAGCAATAACCAACTGTATTCGATTTTGTTTGCGGCTTAAAGGGCAAGGTGACTGTCGTTGTTGGAGCTTTTGGAGACTATGCCCAGGTAATCTGACATGCACACTGACTCGTCTCCACTAGTTTTGAGCTCAGAGCCAATACAACTACATCTTCTCCAAGAACGATACGGTGTTTACATCTATTTCATCGACCACTGGAAGTATATGTATCTTCCTGATGGCAAAACCATCAGTAATAGTGGCCTTTTAAAGAAAGGATCCATCATTATAGCAGACAACACTGTGATGGCAGGAACTCCGGACTACCTAAAATTCATGCGTGCTCATCCCAGGTTTGAGAACGGCACGAGCTAGAGCATGGGCCAGCTTTGAAAGATGTCGTTGAAGCGTTACGCACCAGGGCGAGTGAAGGAGGGCGTTTGTGGTTAGTAGCAGTGTAGGCAGCAACGAGTCGGGGTGAAGGAGGGGAAACGTTGTGGAATAGTCTGTACACATATACAATTATCAAGCCTTCGACATGTTTTCTTCAGCGTTTCTGGATGTGTATTAAGGCCAATCGCCGATGATTAAGTATTTCGAATGTCGGATTTTAGATTTGTCTTTACTTTAAATCATTCCTAATATTCCTTGAAGGGCAGATGGAATCGTTCATGAAGCAAGAAAAAGAATGCGCAAGCGAAGTCTACGTGGCGACTCCAAACTCCAGCGTCCAGCCATCAGTCAGCAACAGCCTCGTTAAATCACTTTTGAAGGCGACTTTCCCCAGCATTGGCTTCTAACGAGTGGGAAGATATTATTTCTGCTTGTAAAACCCTATCCATAGGTTCGTCTCGGGATTGAAAGTGAAGTTCTCTTTGAGGTGAGCGATCGGAAGTGAGAGGGACTGATGCCTTTTTGCTTTTGTGAGGATTGTCGAGGTGAATGTATATGAAGGCTCGATATTCCAGAGATATTTCCACCACAAAATATCTTTCCTGCCAGAGAGTTTGCTTTCTGCTGTACAGTAGTACCTTCCATCGGGAGGCAGGTTAATGGCAAGGCAATAGCCGAGTACCCCATAGACGCGCACAATTCAACCGCGACTTTAGGCTTCACCTGCTGAGCAATCTCCTCCACAATCTCTCCCTTCACATCTCTAACATTTATCAGAAACAGTTCGTTCCGAGCGAAAATTTCTGGTCCGCATCTCCCTATTGTCTATGCTTGAAGTCGTATTTGATGAGAATTGTTTCACTATAAACAAGAGAAAAGATTGTTATTAGAGTCGGATTGAAGAAAGAAGCGAGTTGAAATGCTTGTTGCGTCAACCGAGACTGATTCATTTACCACAGAAACAGTCCACGATCAGCATTGCGAATTGATTTTAGTCATGGTGCTAGTAAGCGACTAGAATTGTCGCATATTGCCTAGACTATGAAAAAGGTGGAAACCCAAAACTTGCATTGACAAACTTGACCCTTTGGATGTTGAAAGTATGTGATGTCACACCACGACTTCTAGTTAGGCGTGATTTTCGACAAGTAGATATCTATATATCGCTGGAATCAACACGGATTCTTGTCGGCCTTTGGAGGGAGCAATACAGACACCAGCTAATTAGCGAAGTAAGATGGTGATGTTCCTGCTGGACTGCATCAATACAGGAACTGGTCCCAAGTTGGCGGAATGAGTAGTCACTCCTCAATGCAGTCTATTTCTTCTCCTGCTCTCAGCTTCAAATAGGTGTTTGGAAATTGGAGCAATCTAAGTACTACAGATCTCCGCCAAAACTGAAACAGGCGATCGGTCGAAAATCTGCATCAAGGAAATCGGATTAAAATCAGAGAGCATTTGATCGGCCAGACTCCATACGATTTGCGACGTGACTTGTCCTTATTGATTGGCACGGTTTTGGCTGGCAGATAATGTTTGGATTTCGGATTTCAAGACATTATTCTGATATATCACGTCATGAATAGGCTTGATTGACGCGTCAAGTTCCATCGACCTCTTCTCACAATTACACCTCCAATATCATTTCTTCTCTGGATATTTGTTGTCTCGAAACTGAACCGTTCTTTCTTCTCCATCCTTCAGAACTCAGAACAAACAACATCATAGTACCTTGCAGAGGAAGGCGCTCGGAGACCGCTGCATAGTACTCTCATCATGTCAATCTCTACAGCAGTAAGTGTCGCTGCTGCTCTCCCACCTTCTAAGGTTGCTTTTGTGCGGTCTTGCTACGGGCCCGCCTTGAGTATTTGGGAGAATCGCATATTGGCTACAAGACAAAGTAGAAGCTTTCAGTCAAGTTCTAAGTTATTCATCTTGGAATCCTCGTTTAGGCTGTTGTGCTGCCTGTTGGAACTGTCGTCTCAAGTCCTATTGTTGCTGCTCTTACTGAATACAGTTTTGGTCAGGACATGCATGTTGTGCTATATGAGCCACGGAACCCATTCGATGACTATATGCCCGTAATTATCCTCGCTTCTGATATTCAGTTTGAGATACGTGCCTGGAATGCTGGATTCTTCTGAATTTCTGACTTCTGACGAATTGCAATATGGGTGTTGGAGAAGGGAGTAAGAGATCTTCGGTCATTTACTAAACTCACTACTTATTTAGAATTATGTATTGATTCCATCGCCGCCACCAAGTGCTGAAGACTTACAAGCTGAATCCATGCAGATTGCGAAAAGAGATACTCCATTCCGGATTCGTGACCTACCTCTAGACGTGATTGTCTCAATATTGAACACGTACGTACGTTGAACCATTTGAAATAGCTCCTGTAGTCATGTCTTCTTTTAATTGTGTCGCATATGATGCTGACTGTTTTTCCAATTTCTTCATATTCAGTTTGAAATCACCAAAGGCTGTATTCAATGCTTCAATATCCTGCAAATTGATATATGGGTTGGTGGACGAAACGTACTATAGAATCTACTGGTCAACAAGTCACACTCTGGTCGCTCCATGTAATCGCTTGAACATTGATGTAAGACGGGCACTACAATTGGTTGGGGGTTGGACCTGCGATATGTGTAACAACAAGGGCACAATGGATTGGAACCTACTGGAACGACTCTGCAGACCTTGCCGTCGAAATTGGTGAGTTGCTTCGAAACTCTTTTTGATTTATGTTTACGTGCTTCATTTGGAACCTACGTATGCACGGTTCTAACATTCGCTGTTTTAGCGTTATGAAAACTGAAACTGAATTGTCGGCACGGAAAAAGAATATTCCTGACTCTCTACTTGCAGCGTTGGGTGTCAAGCAGGGTCGAAGAATGTATTTTTCCATCAATGAAATGGCCCAGATGCTGAAACTTTATCATCTTTTCTGTGAGAATAATAATCCAGGAGCATGGGCTCACGAATTGGAAGGTCTGATGAATCTCAAAAAGGACTACTCGAAGGAATTACAAAGTTTCGTCCCCGAATATCTGAAGTCTCGAGTGGAATTCAGGAAGAACGACCTCGTCAAAAGCTTTGGCTTGTCTCTTGGAGAAGTAAAAAAGCTTCCTAAAATAATCGATCGTCTTCGACAGGCAACATATGATTGGTCGATTCTGAAAAACCAGCTGCTAGGGGAGGCCCTTATCCAACGAAATCACATCAAAACGGAACGCAGCGCTTGGTTGACACACATCTACGCCTGTTATATTGATGTGGAAGGTCAGAAGGATGGCCTCACATACTGGACTCCCAGGGCCTTCATCTCACATCCAAGTGTATTGAAATGGTTGGAATCGGACTATGCCGTTGGATGGCCATCCACGAGTTGGGAAGATACACGTGTTTTGCTTCAACATAACAAGTGGTACACTGCCTTCCTGGATTTAGTAAACGAGACGAAAGGCACAACAGTCTTGATCGAGGAATTAGATGACGTTGTAGTAGCACAGTAGATACTGCTTGTAGCAGAGGAAAACTTTGTAGACGTGTTGGTATTGCTATGGAAGGTGTTGGTATTGATGCTGCTGGTTTCGTGGTTATTAGAGAGGCTTGAGGTGGGAAGCTGGAATACAATAGGAGGATTTTTGGATTCGAGTGAAAGAGGAGATGGGAATTAAAGCCGAAAATGGCAATAAAATAGCGTGCTGTAGAAATATAGGTCATTACAAACTGGACCAGAAGTTGACGCAATTCGTTGGTTTCCTCTGTAAAGACCGCGCGGCTGAAACTTTGTTCACTTCAGCTCATTCAAAATTCAAGTAGAGGTCTCAATCTCAACAGAATGATTAACTCAAAGCTTCAAGCTTTAATTTTTTTATTTTTTGGCTCATGTATTCTA